GACCAGGTTTTCTATAAACATTGCAAGAACTTGTGATTTGTAGCCATTTTGTTTTAGGTCTCCAGAGCCACAGACAGACTCGGAGTGAAACTTTAGAGAGTCTTTAGATCTTAAAATAAACATTCAACTGGGACCATAATAGGTTTTCTGKTTTTTATTATTTACAAAAAAGTATAAAGGTCTTACGAACGGTGTTTGTCAGTTTTGCATTATGTGCTTATTTACAAATAATGTTTAGATTTTTTTGAAGAGGCAACAGCTAGCTGTAGCACTTGTGCTTTTTTGGGGTACTTGAACCCTTGTGAACTTTTTTCAGACTGAAGCTGTTGAAGTGTGGCAGCTTATCAAGCTGGTCAGAACAAATTTCTATTTGTTCAAACTGGGTGTTCAAAGAGCATCCTACAATGGGTGAAGTATTAGTTGTTCATAAGCTGTTCCACAAAACACCACTTAAACAGCTCTGAACTATCCCCCTTGTTCAAACATCTTAACAAACAGAGACTCTGGCAAACTTTTGCATCTTTTACCACTGAGAAGTCGTGGTTTTAATATGAGCTGGATTGTGTTGCCCATTCATCTCAAACCAACTCATCTTTTATTTATTGGTTTGGCTCTTCCTTCCTCACCAGCATCAGAGAGCATTTTAACATGATACTCCCTGGTGATGGTGACATAGTCTCTCTCATTTCCAGGCTGAAAAACAAATGAACAAGCAAACCTTTGAGTTTGATTTGTCGAGTTTATTTTTATTTATTTTTTTATTTTTTGTTTTTTGTTTTGTTTTTCTGGGCAGTTTCTGTTTGAATAAAAAAAAAACTTTCCGCCTGTCCTTATGAATCAACCTTTTCCTAAAGTTTGAAAGCTTTCCCCTGGTATCTGCAGGGACACTGAGATCTGTCTGAGATCCAGAGCCAAGTACTCTTTGACTGTTTCTATGTTGAAATCAGTGAGTGGGAGTAATCAACGGTTGCCTGAAGGAATGTTAAAGCACAAATGATTCATTTTATCTTTGTGCTGGGCGGACCAAAGTGATTTTAATTCATACTCAGCAAACTGCCAAACCTACGCAGTCATCCATCATCTTACGCCTTATCAAACACATAATGCGGTTTTACAGTCATGTCTTTCTCTTCGCATCTCAAAGCTGTGGCACGCAAGGCTCAAAGGCATAGCTTGAACTGTTGAGAGCCTCAGCCTGCGTATGTGTGGTGATAATAAATTCATTGTGTTTGTCAAATTGGAGCAGACGGTCTCAGTGCTGCAAGGAAAGCAGAGTATGCAAAATGCATGATTTCAGCTGGAGCAGGATGCATTCTCATATGGGTCTCAGTTTTCCCACTTTCGTTTGGATGAATCAGAGAAAAGACAATTTGTCTTGAACATCTTGAGGTCGTCAGTGTTACTGTGATGGGGTCTCACTGGTTTATTGTTGGGTCATAATTTTCACATCTCTACAGTCTTCATTAAGTAAAATTTGTTTATTCACAACAGTGTGGACTTATTTTTTATGAACTTTGAAGATGATATATTTTTTAAATTATTTTTACTTCCACTTTTCTTACTTTGTCTTCTCTTTTTTTGTCTTGCAGGTTTCTGGTGCACTGACCCTGCCTGCAGCAGGCGGGGAGTCAGAGGACCAGGGCCATGATGGACTTTTCTGGCCCTGGTGGGCGTGCCTTAGTGCCATGGCCAAGGTTGTGGCAATGGGTCCTGGCTACCTCACTGGTTTCTGTGATAACCTTGACTCTGCCGGAGAGCAGCCAGGCATGCCCGCCTCGCTGCGAGTGCTCCGCTCAGCTGAGGTCGGTGTCATGCCAGCGACGGCGGCTCACCAACATCCCAGAAGGCATTCCCACCGAGACACGGCTCCTGGACCTTAGCAAGAATCGGCTCCGCTGGGTGCAGGCGGGTAATCTGACGCCATACCCGAGGCTGGAGGAAGTAGACCTCAGTGAGAACCTCATTGCCACATTAGAGCCCAATGCCTTTGCTTCCCTCCAGAATCTTAAAGTGCTCAAGTTAAGGGGGAACCAGCTTAAATTGGTCCCCATGGGAGCCTTTGCCAAGCTGGGCAATCTGACCAACCTAGATCTAAGTGAGAACAAGATGGTGATTTTATTAGACTACACCTTCCAGGATCTGAAGAGTTTGAAACACTTGGAGGTGGGAGATAATGATCTGGTTTATATATCCCACAAGGTAAGCCTACTTTTAAGTGTAATGACAAATAGCTTGTCTTTCATGTCAGCATTACTGACAAAATAAATCAAAAATAATCCCACCTGGTTTACGTTGTCCCCAGGCTTTCTCAGGGCTGCTGGGTTTGGAAGATCTTACAATAGAAAGATGCAACCTCACATCCATCTCTGGCCAGACACTGTCCTACCTTCGCAGCCTGGTCACTCTTCGCCTTCGCCACCTCAGCATCACTGCCCTGGAGGACCAAAACTTCCGCAAGCTGTTCAACTTGAGAGGTCTGGATATCGATCACTGGCCATACCTTGAGTACATCTCTCCTCTTAGCTTTCAGGGCCTCGACCTCCACTGGCTCTCCATCACCAACACCAACATCACCTCTGTCCCCTCTGCCTCCTTCAAGAACCTGGTTCACCTTACCCACCTCAACCTGTCCTACAATCCCATCACCACACTAGAGCCTTGGGCCTTCAAGGACCTGCTGAGGTTGAAGGAGCTCATCATGGTCAGCACCGGGCTGATGACAGTGGAGCCTCATGCCCTTGGAGGTCTCAGACAGATCCGGGTGCTCAACTTCTCCTCAAATGACCTGCAGACTCTGGAGGAGGGTTCCTTTCACTCTGTCAACAGTATGGAGACCCTCAGAGTGGATGGGAATCCCCTGTTGTGTGACTGCCGTCTGTTGTGGATCCTGCAACGACGCAAGACCCTCAACTTTGACGGCAGAGTTCCGGTGTGTGCGGGGCCGATGGAGGTGCAAGGCGTCAGCCTCAGCGCCTTCACCGATTCCGCACTCTTTGATCACTTTACATGCCAGAAACCGAAGATCCGCAATCGTAAAATGCAGCAGGTAATACGGATGAATCGGCGTTAATGTGTTAAAGGGGCAATATCATGTAAAATCAACTTTTTTTAGTTTTATATCATGTTATAATGTTATACTCTCATAAAAACATCCCCAAAGCCTTGCTTTGACTCATTCATGCATGTTTGAGAAATCCTGCAGTGATTTTAGGCAGCCATGCTGAGGAGCACATTGACAGGTGGGGACCAGAAACACCTCTGGGACGTGTCTTTAAGCTGAGCTTCCTTGGAGCACACCTCCCCACCCCCTACCCCACACACCCCGCCCATGAATCCTGCAGGCTCTCGGCAGTAACAGAGCAAAGTGAAAGTGAAACTTAAACTGTCTGCTGCTCTTAACACTACTTCTCACTCAGTGAAGCTCTTTTCAGATTCAAAATACCTTTGAGGAAATGTATTTTCACATGCCAAGTAAACTGCATCATAGCACACGCGTGAACCCCCCTGCGTTTAGAAGAGGAAGTGATGAGAAGATAAGTTTATTTTCTATTTAAATTTAAAAACAGCATTTTAATAGCAACTAAAGTTGGCATAGATACTTTATTATGGGATAGTATTTAAACGTATGCCTGAGAAACATATAATATTGCCCCTTTAAAACACTTTAGTGGTTTGTTAAATTTTTGATATTCTGTACTTTGAGTCTTCTACATTTATTAATTCATGCACATCTTATCACCTCCCTCCCGCCAGGTTGTTGCAYGGGAAGGCCAACCGGTGAGTTTTCTGTGTCGGGCAGATGGAGATCCTCAACCTGCTATAGTCTGGATTTCACCACAGCGCAAACTAATCACAACCAAAAGTTCAGGACGTATCACGGTTCTCCCCAGTGGCACCCTGGACATCCGCTACGCCCAGCTCACCGACAGCGGAACATACATCTGCATCGCCAGTAACGCCGGAGGGAATGACACCTACTTTGCCACCCTCACAGTGCGCGGCCAGCCGCTCGACGCCGCTTCTGCCTTCTTCCTCAACCGCTCACTGTACAGCGGAGAGTTCTTCAACGACACAAATCTGAACAGCACACGCGTTTTCCTCAAGTTCACCTTGGACCTGACCACCATCTTGGTCTCCACGGCGATGGGCTGCATCACGTTTCTGGGGGTCGTCCTGTTTTGTTTCCTGCTGCTGTTCGTGTGGAGCCGGGGCCGTGGCCAGCGCAGGAACAACTTCACGGTGGAGTACTCTTTCCGGAAATCTGAACCCGCCACTGGGACCACGTCGGGAGGGACGAGAAAGTTCAACATGAAAATGATATGAAACAACGCAGCCAGGGGTCCCTTGGGGGAGGCATGAGCACGTTCCAAAAGAACGTGCTTGACATACGCAAACACACACAGCCGCTAACTCACAAAGAAGTTTGAAAGCGAGGTATCAGCTTTTGTCAATGGCTCCACTCAAAATTGAGCACTTACACCAAAACTGGAGTCATAATTAAATTTAGTTTAAAACCATAATAAAAAAATGAACCTGACAGTTTGTAGAGGTCCTCTTCTGCTTGTGGTTATGAAGGACAATGTGAGGAATAATAGTGCTTAAAGAGCTGCTTTTAGTTTCCAAATTAAAAGAAGGATTAAAAATTATAGGAGTTAAGCTGTAAAGTAACATTCTTAAACAGTTAGGCTGTGGAATATTGAAATTTCTTTTTATTTAATGATTTTTTACATTAAAAGCTCTATTTTAGTGATCTCATCAGTCAAAAAGTTTATAAATATGCCTTGTTTTATAGCATGCAGAGTTTTGGTTGAAAAGTGTAACAAATATACAGTTTATGGCATTAAATAAAATAATTTGGGCTTTTTTATATATTTTGACCAGAGCTAATCAGTGAGGATCAATAACTGTCTTCATTTTGATGACTAAAGGTTTGATGAACAAACAGATATGTGATCCAGGAAGAAACAGCCCAATAAAACCTCATTTGGCCTTTACTTCTTTGTGAGATTACACCACAAACACTAGCTGTGTGAGTTTGGGACGAGCGCATCGGCCCAGACCTTTCCGTGGTTGCCTGCGGTCCAGATGGTTTGATTAAAAAGTTAGGACCACCAGACACAGGCCGCCACAGAAACCATAGCAGCCAACTCGAAAGAGAGTAACAGGATGTGGGTTGGCAGGATCAGGAGGGTTGCTGAGTTGGGGCAAGAGAAGAGGACATAAGTCACATTGACCTGTCCTTCATCTCCACAACTGCACCAGCCTCGTTGGTGCTCCTTTTTCCCAACAGGAAGGAGCTGCACCTGCCGGCCTACGCCTCCCCTCATCCCTGTTCTCTGCTGCCTTGTTGGTCACCTGACTGTACCGGTGCTGCCCGGGGGGAGCAGCCTGGAAAGTTGGGTCAAAATAAGGAGACAGAGAGAGGACACTCAGTCCCACAAGGAGGTGTGACAGCCTAGTTCTGGATGAGACACTGCAGCACATGTATAGCACTTTTTCTCAGGACGAGTGAAACAACAACCCTGCAGAACGAAAGTCGGTACACATACTTACTCTACACATAACATTCCACTGATTCCAGCAATACAGTTTGTATAGCCATAGAGTCAACATTCAGTCTCCCGGAGAGAACTAATGTGAATTTGTAGGTGGAAAAAACAAAGCCATAGTTTGTGTAAGTTGAATTTTTATACAGTAGAGTGTGCATGACTAAGTTATTTAACTCTCACCACTGCCATCTTACAAGTTGCCTCGATGATCACGAGACCATCTGCTGTCACACACACACACAGCTACGCTGAGGTTATTGGAACAAGAATTACACACACACACACACACACACACACACAAGCACCAGAAGTTTCACATTGTGATGCTGACTGCTCTCTTTGTCTCCACGTCGGCCCGCTGCGCGAATGTCTCTGCCCCCCCTAGCCCAGTGCATTCCCCCCCTTCACCCCCGCTCCCCCATACACCCCCACTGGGTCCTCCTTTGGGAGGGGTCCCTGGCTGGAGACCGAGGATTCAAATGTAAATGAAGTTGTGTTAACCCTACCCACACCATGTGCATTGTAGTACTGTGGTTTTAAATGGGGAAAAAATAATACAACAAAAAAAACTTCCATTGATGTGTTGCATTGCCTCTTTGTTGGGCCCTTGTTTTAATTTCTTCAGTTATTGTTGACTGTGACCTCTTGGCTGTTTACTGTTTTAAAGTTCCTCGTCCTCCATACTGGACCGTTCTGTTCTCAACACCTCATAGAATACACGAAGAGGAGCCGGTACACGTCTCTGCGTTTTAGCTAAAGCCAGGCCAGTTTGCATTGTTCAGGAATAAAAATTAGTGACTCTTCTACATTTCAAGGATGCCGTGCAATAAAACAGTTGAGAACCTCAAAAAACAGGATCTACTTTTTAGAACAAATTCATAGTTTCGGGATAATTTGCTGCAGGAAAAAAAGGGGGGGGCAGGGAGGATTTTAAATGAATCATGCAAATTCCGTTTTTGTCTCTTGTCAGAGATGATGAAACCACAGCTTTTTTTGCCTTTTTTTTTGTCAAGATGAATAAATGAACAGCTGTTTAAAGATTCATAAGACTAAATGAGAACAGATGATAAAACTGGCCTGGTTTTTAAGCTGTTAACATATCTGTGACCATTTTGGGTTTCACTGTGTTGAGAACAGGATGTAGTCTTTATGGATGTCTTTTCTTTCCAAAACAATCCTACTGTGTTTCCATATTTYTCTGTGGAAATTAGGTTTAGAAGACAGTGAGAATGTCTGTGGTGACTTTTGATGGTGTTCCTGTGTAAACATCATTCGCAAATGTAGACGAGAGTGTTTCATTAATTTCGTTTTTTTCTCCCACTTCCCCTTTTCCTGCCTTTCTTTTTTTCTTTTTCCGTCTTCTTAGCGTTTCCAATCGTTGTCATCTCTGTTTACAGTATTAGGCTGGAGTATGGTTGTGTGGTAGTAGACACATGTTGTGTGTGGTCGGTGAATCGGTGTTGTAGAGTTTTGATTCGTCGCTACTCGTGATGCCACCAAACACTGAGCGGTGATTGGATCAGCGGAGACAAACGATGAAAGGGGCGACCCAGGTTCCCTGACTCGAAAAAAAACACAAAAACTTGATTCCTCATTGCACATCCTTACTCATTCCTTAAACAAGAAGAAGAAAGAAAAAAAAGCACTTCTTGAACTTTTATCGGTCTGCACACAGCATCACTCTGGGCTCATTCTCTGGATGTGAAAACCCCCATGGCCTGTGCCGTATGTACTTTTTCATGGTGATAGCCTGTCACAATTACAAATGTTTGAAAAGAAGCTGGATTTTTGTCAAAACTTGCACTCATTTTCTGCCTATACTGAGTTATGCTGTCCATCTAGTTGAAAAAGTGACATTTCTAAATTGGTCAAGGTTGGAAAGAAGCGATATCTGTTTAAGCCTTGGTGGTCCTTGAAAACTGAGGAAGCTTTTTTGTAAGCTCCATCTAATAATAAAAAACCCAGTGTGGACGGTTTTATCTTACATGTCCTTGTAAATCTGATCGCACATTTGGGTGGTACGATAAAGATTTTCAATGATGCTTTAGACGAACAGTTCTTTCAAAAGCTCTCCTCAAAACAGACACGAGGTTTACAGCCACTACATCTATTGATGGAGGTCATTTTCATTATTCCTCTCTATCARAATTTTTGAGAAAGAATTTGGGTTTGTCCTTTTCTTGATGTGACCCATATTGCAGAGAGGTGTGGGCCAGGTGTGTCAAGTTTTCACTGCTGGCTGACTGCTGGCACGGCTTTTTGTTTGGTTTGGTTGTGGGCCAGGTCTGGCAGGTATGGCACAGTTTTGAGGGTGGCAGACCACCACTGGTGGTTTAGTTTCTGTGGAGCTGGCCCAGGCATGGTCAACCTCTGGAAAACCTCATCTGGGCCACTAAATGGTTGTAATTCTTTGCAGTTTCCGGGCCAAGTGTTCAGAGTGTCAAGGTCAGCCGACATGTGGTCATGTGGTTGTTTGACATTTGTTTTCACACACATAGCCTCTGAGACACACAGCGCCAAGCTCCTTGGAAACCCCTCACAAAATGATGTCCCAATTTTTCCACAAATCTGTCCCGGTTACAGCTCTGCAATTTTTGTCAGACAGATTCCTTGGTGCACACCATCTGTTTATTCTCAGTGCATGAGCTTTTGGACATTTGACAATCTTTATAAAAGTTTCAACCCTTTTAGCAAAAACAGTCATGCCCATGAACTTCTGACCAATCACACAGTAAGTTCTTATTTGGGGGTTGTGACAAGAAGTGGTGGGAGACTCAAAGCTCCAAACAAAATAATGTGATCTTTGTCATGAAGCTGCATCAAAGACAGATGATTTTGGCTGTTCGGATGGTGTACATGGAGGCCTCCAGAGCCTTGTGTAAACCAGAACCGGGCCAGTCAGATTTTGCTATGTGGGTATGTGTTGCCTACCTACCCACATAGCAGATGTGGGCCAGATCTGATGCTATGCTGGTTTGTCAACCAAATGTGGGCCAGGTCTGCCAATGAAGGCACTGTTTTTAAGGTTTGGCTGAATATTAGGAGTGTTAGTGCATTGTTCTGGCCCACACAATGCTTTTCACTTGGCCCAATTAACACAAAGAATGACATTCCTTTAGTGGCCCAGTAGTAGTTTGTCAGAAGTGGTCCATGCCCAGCACAACAAAAACCAAAACACAACCAGGCTAGTGGTGACACTGACAGATTTTGGCCATATTAACCAAACAGTCAGACCATTTGTGGAATGCCATCATATAAACAGTGCCATCACTGACCAGACCTGGCCCACACCTATCTGATCTATGGATACATTACAGAATATCTTTTTCACAAGAGAACTCCTGCAAACCTAAACAAACTCCTAAACACCATATTTAGGCCATCAAGCAAAACCTGAATTATTTAAGTTTTCATTTGTTTGATTGTTTCCATTTAGCTTTAAATTACCCAAAAGCGTTATAATTTATTATACAAAGCTGTGTTCTTATCATTTTGTCTGAGAAAGACCCCGTTTTTGTCTTACCTGTAAAACTGCATCTCCACCACTGTTTTTTTTCCCCCCTGCTGTCATTTCTGATTCCACATTAGCTTTAAATAAATCCTCTCACTACGCATCCTCCAGCTGCTGTTTTGATTGGAYTAGACTTGAGCTGAATTATTGGAGCCAAGACGAGCAGTAATGGGATGATGGAGAAGGGAGCTTGGCTGATTCGWTGATTACTTGCCTTATTAGTTTAATTTCCATGGCAGACCTCGAAGAACGAAGTGTCATAAAAACACTGAAAAATACCTTATTTTTAAACATCAATTTTTTTATGTTGTCCTGATTTCCTCAAGCTTCGGGGGAAAAGGGAGATTATGACTCAACGGCAAGCTGATGTTCAGGTCTGTTTGAGGCAGAGCTTTGCTGAAAGATTGCCCTAACCACCTTGAACGAATAATTGCTTCATCTTAACCTTGACAGGAGCACTGCAAAGTAAGCCCACAGTTTATGAGAGCACACTACCACCCAGTGGTTGAGCTGAGCAACAGAACCTTATACGTTTTGTAGACGCGAACTAAAAACACTGAAGACAGCAACCTTTTATAGCCATATTATGACCTCCTCTCAGCTTTTATTTTGCTCTGCCTGTCAGAGGAAGCAAAAGCATCAGGAGAGGTCTGATTGAAAGCAACAGTTTGGGAATCACTCAGCAGATATAAATTTTAAAATGTCACAAATGTCACAGCACTGTTTATTTCTCTGCATCACTGATTGATGGCAAGCAAATGATTGATTGGTTACTCCATTGAACAAAACAACTTTCTCTCTTGGGGTCTTAGCAGGTTGAATCTATGCATGCCTTTTGTAAAAACAACAACAACAACAAAAAAGAAAAAGTATTGCCAAACTCACACTTGCATTTGTACAAAGCGGTCATACTGTTGTGGCTGAAATAGAGTGAGTTCGACAAATAATCCAATTCCAGCAAAGGAACGAAGATTTTACAAAGTGTGACTCTTACAATAGAAACTTGTGTTTACTTGGGATGATTGTACTTTTACACATATCTGCTCACAATCAAATGATCTGCTCTGATGTAAAAGCTGTAGATAAAGCGACTGATACTCCAAGCAGGTTGGTGGGACTGATCAGCACTGTATGAGCATATGATCGGTTTCTCATTGTTTTATCTAGAACATTGTCACTCTTTTGAAAAAAATAAATAATTTGAGGTAATAGGAGGTGATTTTATGTAGACCTGGCAAGCACTCTTTCCTAGGTTTACACACTGACTTCAATGAAAAATGTGCTTTGTTTTTAAGAACGAGAAGGTGCCAGTTTTTTTCCTTTTTCACTCCAGGTCTGATCCTCTCGTATTACCTCAACTGTTTACAGGAATTAGTAGTTCTGTATTTGCTGGGAGTTCTCCTCTACACAAAATTTCATGTACTTCTGAGATTTGGTTTGAGTGTTGTCACCCTCTCTTTTTTTCTGTCTCTCCATTACTCTTTCTGTGTCACTTTATTTAAACCTGGCACCAACCTCGTTAAGCACTTTATCAAATGTTATTGCTACATTGCATATCTAACAATCATTACTCACTTATAAACCTAGGACAGAGTGCTGGGGACTCCGAGTAAATACAGAACTAAATGAAAGACAACTTGTCAGACTGAATGGTGTCACATGATCAATTACTAATAACCATGAGTGGCACATCTATGAGACTGTTATACAGAAGATTGGACTCTGATCCTCTGTGGCCACAACAGCATCTGACTGACAGTTTTTTTAACATGTACATTTTATGCCATAGCGTCTTGATCCTTGGATGTAAAGAACAGAAACATGTACATATTAGATCTATTAGCCATATCATGTCATCAAATCTGTAGACCTCTTTGCCATGTCTGACAGAGGAAAATGACTGTTGAATTGTAAATAGTGTAGGTAAAGGATTTAAACTGCTGCTTTTTTTCCCTCCAGGGATCACTCACGTTCTGCTCAGTCCCCAGGCTGCTTGGTCTCAGAGGGAAGGATAAAAATGTACTTGTTAATAAAAAAAAAAGTTTTCTTTTTTTAAATTCACTGTATGTTTTATATACTGTCTGTCTTGTAAATGAGCTCCTTTTTCGTCATAAAAGCATGATGTGACTAAAACAAATCGCTCGTGCCTTCATTTTTTTACACTTCTTTAAGCTGACATTAAAACATTATGACACAGCGTGCTGGGGGTTGGGATGGGTGGTCTACCCACCCACAATTGACTAAGAAACAACGCAAAATGTGAAATTTAATTTTCTGACTCCTGTATTTTAAATAAATGGAAGGCCAAAACTGACGAAATTAAAACTAAAAGCACAAATATATAAATGGTCCAATGAAAAAATAAAAACACTTAACCAGTTAATAAAAAAAGGAAAATTTTACCTTTTGTTTTATATTTTAATTGACCATCAAATGTATTTTTCCAGCTTAGTTACAACAAATTATATATTTTAGCATATAATTTAAAAGTTACTTTTTTAAATAAATATTTAGTATATAAGTATTTTTATTTCTATGAATTGTATTTGCTCTTTTCTGTCTCCTGTTGTGCATTTCGGACTCGTTATGCAAATAAGGTAGGCTGCCCTTCTTGGGTCAGCTCCTCTCCTATTGGTCAATAGACAGGAAGGAGCAGGATCCATGTGCAGATCGACTGTGCATGCATGCACTGCAGAAAGATGGTCTGTTTCAGAGTTGTTTAAGGGAAGATGCAAATAGATTTACTCTCAAATAAGGTGAGTTCTCCTGAAACAGCCAGCAGATACCAAACAAACAACCTTTAGATGAAAGATTAACACAACAAATCTCCTGAAACTGTGTTTTGGTATTTATAGTTTTGTTGCCACTCTTTTATTTTCAGTGCCTGGAGAAACATAATTTGGTGCTCCTGTTTGTTGATTTTAGCAACTTTGGTCAATGATACAGTGACACAATAATAAACATTTAATTTTCATTTAATTTCTCATCTGTATGTTTGCATCTTAAATGAAAATTGCTCTTTATAAACTCCCTGTTTATTGTCACCATAATGAGATAGAATTCCCACCTTTGCCAAGTCATAAATTCATCACAGGATCACAAAGAGACATCACTTACACTCAGCTATTAGTCTTTGGGCCAGAGGAAAATTGGTATAAAAAGATAGGTGTTTAAATAGACCTAAAGTATTGACAAAAACATATTATGTCATTTCAGTTTGATAGCTAATTTTTACTTTTCAACATGAATCAAAATACTTATAGTAACTTAAAAATCACAACATAATAAACAAATTAAAAAAAGGAAAGTTAGCACGTTAAACATGAATTTTAAAGTTGGTTAGTAAAAAAATAACTACAATGTAGTTTGCCACCATCAGTGTGTGTGTGTGTGTGTGTGTGTGTGTGTGTGTGTGTGTGTGTGTGTGTGT